GGGGGCGATCGGGGCCGTGACGTCACCGGCAGCCTATGGGGGCGCGGGGGGGGCTCCCCCGTCGCTCCCTCACCCGTGTCCGTACGCGTTTCCCGTCCTCCAGGAAAATGTTCATCGGAGGCCTCAGCTGGGACACCAGCAAGAAGGACCTGACGGAGTATCTCTCGCGGTTTGGCGAGGTTGTGGATTGCACGATCAAAACAGACCCGGTCACTGGAAGGTCGAGGGGGTTTGGGTTCGTGCTCTTCAAGGACGCTGCCAGCGTGGAGAAGGTGGGCGCTTTTCCTGCGGACCGATGGCGTGAAGCCGGCTTGTGTAGCTGTAGCGATCTGAGACTTTGTTCCTTTGTCTGCTTTTTAGGTGTTGGAACTGAAGGAACACAAACTGGATGGGAAGTTAATAGATCCTAAAAGGGCAAAAGCGCTGAAAGGGAAGGAGCCACCCAAAAAAGTGTTTGTTGGTGGGCTGAGTCCAGATACATCTGAAGAACAGATTAAGGAGTACTTTGGTGCTTTTGGCGAGGTATAGTATATTGGCATATAAGAACGCCTCTGATTCTCAAATGTAGTCTTGCCTCTCTCTTGTGAGGAGGGAGTTGGCCAAAACTAGACGTAGTTGAATCTATATGTTAATGATTTCATAAAATTGTAGTGGTCTGATTTATAGCTGCCAGAAGTAATCAGTATAGATTCTGCACTGCCAAACAGTTCTGGTGGCATAAAAAATTGCTTACAGATTTCTTGCATTGTTTGTATTAATTTTGATTTCAGATTGAAAACATTGAACTTCCCATGGACACAAAGACAAATGAAAGGAGGGGCTTCTGTTTTATCACATACACAGATGAAGAGCCAGTAAAGAAGTTACTAGAGAGCAGATACCACCAGATTGGTTCAGGCAAGGTGGGAAAACTCTTGTTCTTAGCATGTGAAATCTATCTCTGTAGGCTTCTGTGAAAGCAGCTCATAAAATACTCTTGGAATTCGTGATAAGTTAATGGATTTCTGTCCTTACAGTGTGAGATCAAAGTAGCACAGCCCAAAGAAGTGTACAGACAGCAGCAGCAGCAGCAGAAAGGAGGGAAAAGCAATTCTTCTGGTGGACGTGGAGGCGGAAGGGGGCGTGGACGGGGTGAGTGTTTTCAATGGTTCTATTAATATAAGTACTTACCAAACACTCAGGTGTTTGTAGATATTCCAGGTTGCAGACTGTGCAGATCTCACGCTTAAATCGAACGTGTCAAGTAGACTGGTAGTACATGGTGTTTTAGTGGTTATGGTTACGTGTTGGAGCTGAGGAATCTCTTCCTCTTCTCGGATTCAAGGTGAAGGGGCAAGGTGGATGTAGGGTGCTTTTGTACACCCTTAGTGGACAGTGTAGCCAGCGCAGTTACACTTTCGCTTGAAAGGGATACGCTTAATTTGCCTTGGGCGAGAAACCAGGAGCTGTTTGCTGAGGAGTAGGGTGGTCACTTGGCTGCAACTTCAGATGGATCAGAAGGAATCAGCTGTTTGTTACAAGTTAATGCATCTCAGTCTTTAAAGGTCAAGCAGTCACAACTCAGACCACGCCTTAAGGCTCATCCGGTGATGTTGCTTGGTGCTCAGCCAATTACTGATTATTCTCATATCCAAAAAGTTAGATAAAGGGGCGCAAGAGAGAAGTGAAATAAGTTTTGAAACTTACACTTGCTATACTTGGTTTCAGGTCAGGGACAAAACTGGAACCAAGGATTCAATAACTATTACGATCAAGGCTATGGGAATTACAATAGTGCTTACAGTGATCAGAGCTACAGTGGCTATGGAGGCTACGACTACTCTGGGTACAACTATCCCAACTATGGATATGGGCCTGGATACACAGATTACAGTGGTAAGTGGTTTTGCCTTCATTCTTCATCTTGATGCCCTCATCCCCTCTCTGGAACGTTGCTCTTACTCGGCACATGGCTCTAAAGATGAGATCTCTTGGTGTGCTGCTGCATGTGAAGTCTCTTTCTGAGGCTGGATGTTAATGCTTGTGGGTTCTGTTTTTTCCCCACATGCTACCTCCAGGCCAACAAAGTACATATGGGAAGGCATCCCGTGGCGGCGGCAACCACCAAAACAACTACCAGCCGTACTAAAGCAGTACCTAGTACCTGACAAACAGGTGTGTACATGGGCGCAAGCTCCACTCCGACTATGTCTAATCTAATTTAAAGATCAATAGACAAACGAAGAGTAAAAACTTGCCTAGCATGACTTTTCCTTTAATTAAGCTTTTGTTAACTTAAAAAATACTTTTTTTTTTAAAACCAGCTTTGCCTACGTGTCTATAGATCTTTAACTTTGTAAAGATGTGACTTTATCTTCTTTACTACTTCAGAAAAACATAAGAGTTTTTCTGGTTTGCGTTGTGTACCAGGTGGTCTAGAGGAATAATTAAACTTATTAGAAGTATTAACAGGTAAAGTACTGAAATGGGTACAACTTAAGGAAAACAAGAATGTTGTCTTCTAACTCTGACATTATACCTTGTTTGTACCCGCCAGCGGGAACTTCATTGCAGGCCGTGTGTCACCCTGACCACGTCTATCTCTGGGGTCGCACGTTGCAGGCAGAGCGCAAGGCATACACCAGAAAACGCTGTCCTGTGGTATGGTCTCTTCCAACTTCATGTACCAGCGTAAAGATTAAAGTGGAAAACTTCAGACTTTGGCTTCTTTTTTTAATCTTTTTTGGAGATTAAGTGTCTTTAACTTAAATGGTTTTTTACAGGAGTTAAAGTACATAAATGCCTTTACAGCTTAATCATTTGGTCTTCTGTTTAGTGTTGTATTTCAATTGTGGAACCTCATTTTAAATGTGCATTCTTTAAGATTTTAATGCTTGCTTTTTTCTTTTTATAGCTAATAGTGAAATCTGCAAACCAAAACGAACTTTTAAATCTGGATAAACATTAAAGATCATATGCATATGGACTGTCTGAACTAAAGTGACCTGACTTGTGTTGCACATAAGTCGTTTAGTTGTATAAACGAATAATCAGAAAGCCTTTTGGCAGTGTTTCCAATGGAAAAGAAGGAGATCCAGAGCCTGCTTACTTGTCTAAGTTGGGTGGTTGTTTTGGAGCAGCCTCCTAGATGGGCTGTATGGCAATAATTGGGAAAATAAATTACTGATGGGTAACTAAACAAACTTCTTGCGTTACCTTAATAAATATGCATATGATCTTTAACAGTGACGAAAGGAATATATAGAAGACTTAAAGCAGTTCATGAAAATGGACCTTTTAACAATTCTGTAGTAACTGTCACAGATCTGACATGCATTTTGTCTTGATTTTTTAGGTAGAGATACTGCAACAAAAAGCCATCTTGCAACGCATTGTGAGTGAATGGAGGGTGGTCTTCGTGAGAGGAAATGACTATTTTGTAAAAGACTTTTAGTGTATGACACAACTGTGTCCAACTGTACATAGCGGCCGACTAGTTTTCTTTTATGGTTTTTACTTTCTTTTTGCCATTCATGTTATGACACAATGTGGACTTGTGTTTATACAAACTTTATTTGTATAATTTCATGTTAAAAGATTCTCTAATAAATGCTTACTTAAGTGAGTGTGTAGTCTTGCTGTCACCTTAAAGTGGTGTAACTATAGTTGTACTTGGATAGGAAGGCAGGTACCATTCTGGAGATAAGGGGTACTGTGAGAACAGGTCCATACACCCCATTCTTCCTCCTGATCTGTTCTGAGAGCACCAGAGTGCTTGGAATTGGCACCACTGTAGAAGACAGCAGAGTCATGTCCTGCCCTTTGCAGCAGTGAGGAGAAAGTGGTCTGTGGCACAATGCTGCCAGTTCTGTACATCTCAGGAGGGATCTAGAACTATAGCAGCACCTTTTTAATGCTGATAGCACTGCTTGAGTTGGAGCTTTTCAAGGTTTTCAAGCACTTAAAACCTCAAGTATTCTAGAACTTAGCTTAATTACTTTCCTATACCACTTCTATTCCAATTCCCAGCAGGACATTACAAGTTATTTAGGGTCAGCAATTATTTTCTGTACAACTTGGTGCAAGTTAAGTGCTGTACTGGACTCTTGTCACCTGCATCAGAAAATGGGTTTCCCAGC